CTGTGATGCTGCTTGGAGTGTGTAGAGCACCTCAAGCCTCCATGCAGGAATGCAAAAGGAGCATTTAGTCATCTAATGCTGTAACAGTAGAACAACACAGTGCACCATATTACAAGACTTGACAGAAATGTTTTCTTCTCTGCCCAGTTGTGAGGAGCCAGGGCATGCAGGCAGTGGCACTCAGCTCGTCCTGGAGAACATTGCCTGCAGGGTCACGTGCTGCTGGAAAGGAACTTTGCAGGAGTACAGTGTGTTGTTGGAGAAAATACAAAGGTATATCTGGTCAATGATTTATCACGGTCTGTCAAGTAAATAATGCTTCCTGAGAAAACTAAAATACAAATGAGAGTAGATGTTTGCCTGATGAACTAGAATTGAGATATACATCATATAATGTTTACTGCTCCTAAAAGAAAAAAAAAAAAAAAATCAACCAGGAATTGAAATGAGTGTTTTCTTCATCCTTAGAGCTACCAGTCAGCTTGTGCTGGGCTCTGTGCTGCTGTACCTCGCTGGTGTCATTAAATCAATTGAACATTAAGTCAGGGTTGTAGCAGCATGCTCACTGGGTCCAGGAACAACTAGAACAAATGGGGTTGTTTCAACAGCAACAGCCCTCGTGCCTCAGAGTATTAACAGCTTCTAATTAACAACCTATGAAGTCACTCTGTGATGTTAGGTGAAGAATCAGGCCTTTCCATGTGGCCAGTACCTTCATACATGTGGTATGGTATGTGGTCTGTGCTCTTTCTAATGTGAGTGGATGAGGGGTCAGGCACACAGGTATTATGCCACCGACTTCAAAGCTCTTCCTCGACCTCACGATGCTCAACACAGCTGAAATGTTTGTGGAGGGAAAAAAACATGCCAGAGTTTTACAGGAAATGCTTTGTTTTGTGATATTGACACCTTTTCACATATGCTCTCAGACAGAAGGGGAATATGTATCTGTCTCTATACTGAGGGTTTTTATATGACCAGTGTGATGTTCTTGACATTATTTTCAGGATAGTAATTTGGAGCTTGTAATGATAATTCTCTGTCCAATGAGAACAGGCGTACATCTCTCACACATACATACAAAGCTCCTGCCATAAAATATTTATGAATCATTATTAGCATTAGGGATATCCGAAGTCAAAACTCGTAGGAAGCAATTTTGAAGCAAATGAAATTATGGAATATTTATCCATCCAGTAGGCTGCCCTGGGTACGTGTCTCCGGCAGAATGAGCGAGTTACTTATTTATGAGCTGGTCTCTTACTCTCTTCCTTAAAGAGGATCCGTGGAACAGGTTGAACAGGATGTTTGTTTACAAATTGGCCAGAGAGCATTGTTCTCAGTTTGATCCGTGATGACTAATGAGCAACATAATTTTTAATCATAGGTTTTCAAGCCTGACATGCTGACAAGCACATCCTGCGTGTGTTACGTTCTGCATGGTATAATGCAGGCAGCTGTGTGTGCTAACGAGGGAACAAAAACAGTATGAAAAAGATCAATGTGTCAGGCGAGAATAAGACTTTTCTAGCAAACGAGCTGTGATGCAAACATTTTTCACTTTAGGACTTTCTAGGACAGGTTGTTGTGTGCACCCAAAAGCAGAATCTGCAGTGTGGGATGTGCAGAGAAGGGGCGGAATGGAATCGTCTGTCTGTGCTAATGAATCAAAGGGCAGCAGGCCCTGGGGACAAGTAGAGCATGAGATTTCGGGATCGGAGGTTCCTGAGTGCAGTTCCTGAGACACCCCAGACTGCATAGGAGGGAAGGCTGGAAGCAAATTGACGCTGACAATTTACCTACCCACTCACCGGGTAGTTAAGCAGGCCAGATGCTCGCTATTTCTACCGCTTTTTACAGAAAGGTTCACTTTTGCTGTACAACTCTCTTCCTCCTCCGTCCTGCTAGTGCCAGCCTGTCCCAGGGGAGGCTCAGAGACTCCCACATCCATCTATGCTGACTGAGCATGGGAGAAAGTTTCTCAGCATCCCCAAATGCGATGACATCTGTTGCAACCTCTTGTTTTCTCTCCTGGATTTGGAAAGAGCATGAATAGCTTCCATAATCTCCCAAGATTGCAGAAGAACTTTTGAAGACGTAATATGTGAGAGAACAGGGCAGGACAAGGGTTATCATGGGTGTCACATTCAGAGCTGCCCAGAAAACCCATGCGTGGTTTGGGGCCTGAGCTGTGGGTCTGACAGAGCACAGGACATTTGTTTTACCCTGATAAAATGGAGATATCTACCCATCTGCTTTGCTAGGGTGGCTTGAGGATTAGCTGTGTGATATCCACAAAGCATCCAGATTTAAAACAAGGCTATTTTCAAAGTAATAAGTAATAACATATATACCCATATGTATTATTATTCCCTTAACAATGACAGAGTGCTTAAGTAATCAAAAACGTGAATTTCTTTAAAACCCAGATCTTAACACAGCTCTTCCAAGTGAGCTATTTTGGCTTGAAAATGGTTTTCTTGCACTTTTTCCTAGCAACAAAAATCCTCTGTAGGTGAAGATGACTCTGATAGCACTGGTGTTACTAACACGTGTTGTGGATACAACCCCTTTATCGCTTCCAGGAATTAATTAATTACTTTTTGCTGAGAATGAGGAAAGGAATGAATGGATCAACAGCTTTTCTGGAGAAGAGTAAAGTTCAAGATTTCTTGAATGACTGAGAGGGAGAACAGGGCTGCTGCATTTTCTGATTAAGGTCTGAAAAATATTTTGCATTTCATTATCAACTTGCTTTGCATTTTCATCTATAGAAATCCCATTGGCATGTGCCAAGTGCTATCTAAAACCAGCTTCTGGACTGCCACGCTTCTGATCATGTGCTGCAGGAAAGAATGGACGCTCTGTGAGCAAAGAAAGCAAATGTAACCATAGCACAGAATTTATTTGGGAACCTTTATGCAGGCAAAATAAAAGGTGTACCAGCTAAGCTGAGTGTTTATAAAGAGGTTGGGTTTTCTCATTTTATAAGTGCTTGGGTGGCTTTAATGGAGAAAGATTCTAATGGTTTTTGACACGTGTTAATGGTGTATGTCACGTTCTTTATATTTTCATAATGACAACTCTAATTTCTGATGGCATGTGTCACATTGCATATATTTGTTAAATATAGGTCATGGGCTAAGAATATGCACAATATTAACAAACTATGTATGATAACAATTACATACGTCTTCCTCACTGCAGCAAGCTCAATTCATCATAAATCTGATTCTGGTGGGTTGTCTTAAACTCAGTAGGAAAACATTTTTATTGCTTTGTCTTAAAAGATGGCGGAAAAAAAATTAGGCTTTAACAAAGTTGAAGCTGATGAGGAAAAAGGAGTTCTTTCTCACTGGGGTCACTGTTAGAAACAGCACTTGTGTAAGAGTGCTGAAAAATGGTGATAGAATATCATGGCACTCATCAACTTATATGGTTTGGCAAAAGCTACAAATAGCTCCTCTGGGGAGAGTGGGTAATGGAAGACACATTTGAGGCTGCTGAAACAGAGTGCTTAGCTGTATGGCTGTGACCTTCTGCACATGACATGTGGGGTTGGTATGCTCTTCTTCAGAGAGGTGTGCAGGGGATAAGTAACTGTGTTTTACGTCCTACAGTCCATACAAAAGCTTGTGATATGAAAGTCAGAGGGGCTGATGGCTTCCAGTTGCTTTCCCAATTCCTCCTGATAAATGCAATTATCCTGTGTATTTCCTGAGATGAGTATGTACATGTAAGCATGGGGAGATGTGGTCCTAGGAGGGCTTTTTTTACTCATCTGATCACCTTCTGGTTACTTTCTGGCCTCTGGATAGAAGTCACATAGCCAGAAGTGAGTCTGATGCACAATGTCGGGGCCAGATGTTTCCAGCATTCAGATTTCACACATCAGCTCAACAATCCAATCTCTCAGGTGCCCTTGATAGTGATGAGATTTTTATCTTCCGATGTAAAATAAATAAATAAAAGGATACGTGTATCTTAGTTACCAGGCAGAAGTAAATTAGGTTATGGGAAGGATGGTGAACACCTATGTTTTTCAATAGTTTCTGTCATTTAGTGGGAAAGTGTTGGCAGTAGGTGGACTGTTGGACTGGATGATCGTGGAGGTCTTTGCCAACCTTGGTGATTTGATATTATTTTTGTGGGATTGTCTTATTAAGGAAAGACTGTAGTGCCCTTTTTGCTGGTTAAACAAAACTAGGATGCGATGCTTTCCCTGCCTTTGAATATTAGTATTGCTTTTCACAACTGCTTTTATTATAGCTAAATAATCAGAATTCTGGGAACTGCTGCAAAACCACCCTTTTCCTACAGCACTTGCTAGGTCAAGCTGTAGTGGCAGTGTGAGCTGAATGATGCCCTCACTCTGTGTGTGATACAGAACAGGTAAGGCTTGTGTTAGCACAGCTATGAAGAAACAGATAACCTAATGCACAAGTGAGAGTTACTGAGAAATGAATATGAAAAACAAAGTTAATTCTAATACCCACATGTTAAATATTTGTCTTCTCATACATCTGATTCAGATAATTTCATATTAGTTGGAACCTATTTTCCATTTAATCTTGTATCAAATTTCCTTCAAAGTCTATCTAATTCCACTTGAATTTGAGGGTCAGCAAGTTGAAATGAAACAGTGGTGTTGTATGCAGCTGAGTTTTAGATGCCACGTTTTAATGGTGGGCTCCTGCACTTCCAGTTTGATCCCAGCAGATAAAACATCTGGAAGAAGAAAGGAACATCCTCCAGAAGAAATCTGAGATTCATAAACCTCTGAAATAACAACTCCCCTCATATCTGACCTACTTCTGCCTGTAGATGCTCCTGTCATTCAGGCTGGGCAGACGTCTGCTGGCTTTTCCCTTCCCATAACCATTCACAAGCAGGTTGGGACCGAGCTGTGGCCTCACACCCAGCGAGGTGCCACAGCTTTCTCCCTCCCCCCACACCTATGCCAACATTCTCATTCTGCCCCATTTGTGAATTTCCTGCAGAAAGAGCCTTTCTCCATGAGTGCGTGCCAGCCTTTGGGAGAGAAACTTGATGACCGAGGATTGCAGCAACAAAGGCAATTAGACGTCTGCTGCATATGCATTAAATAGTCTATATAATCCTAGAATGAAGACGTTACTAAGAACAGCCCATGAGGATGCTGAGCTAGAGGAAGCATGACAATAGATAATTTCAAATCCAGCCAAGCTTGAAAGAGGTATGTTTTCTTCCTTCCATCAGTTGAGAAAGAGCTATAAAGGCTCCTGACTTGAATAAGCAGCTCTCGTGTTCTCTGTGTCCTAGCCCCAGTTTTGCACCACTCGTTAGAGATCATTTTGTTCATTTTTCAGAGAAAACAATTCTTAATTTACTTGAAGGGGGGGAAGAGAAAGTGGGGGAAAAAAAGTAATGAAAGGTAAAAAGAAAAACTGAATATTTACACTAAGAGGAAACAGTAACCGTCCACTTCAGTTTTATTTCTGCAGCAGGTAATATCATCAAAGTGTTGCCACAGTGAGGAAAGCGATAAATCACTGCCAAGAAATCAGAGTCACATCTTCTAAATTATTTTACTGATACTTTGGAAGTCTATTTTAATTGAAAATATTGGCAGCTTTTCTTGTTAAAGGCCAAATGATTTAAAGAGCAAAATACTGAAGATGCTGTTTTTAAGCATTTTCTGAGCTATCAGAGGCCTCAGCTGAATCAAATTTCACATCCCTAACTCGATAAGGTTATCTACACTGCCAAAGACTGACTGACCTTTAAGTGACATAATGTATTTGCCCTCTACATTATGACATTTACATTAAAATGTGGTGAATCCTGATTCATTAATAACTTCTGAGACCCCAACCTGCTACTCTCACCTGATTTTTTTGTACACCAGGAGGTAAACTTCCCTCTCAATGAGGTAAAGCCCTTACCCTGTTGCACCCAAGTCTGCTGTGAGCCTTATTGGGATGGAAACATTCACTTATGTACAGTCACATAGATAAGTCCTGTTGGATTCTAGAGAATAATTTTTAAACCTGAGTAGAAAGAGTTGGAGAGCGAGAAACTGAACTATGTGATGTTTGTGTGTTCTTTCCTTTCCAGCTTTTCTTATTTCACAAAACCATTGAATGTGCAGTACTTACAGCATTAATTCTTGGCCCCTTGGTATGTGCTAACTACAGCCTAACTCCTGAGGGCATCTTCAGAGCAGCTGTCAGAAAGCCATGGAACTTTGTGTCACCCAGACCAGAATACACAGTGCTGCTCACGAACCCCTCTGTCACAGCAGACCCAGTAACTTATCTGTCACTAAAAGTGGGATGTGCAGAGTTTGCCTGGGTGAGAGCTGAAAACCTGATGGGGTTTGAGAGTAAATGTTTCAGTGCCTCTTCTAAATACTTGAGGAATGCTCCTAACATCCTGATGCGATGAGTGCAAAAGGCAGACAGGTGAGTTCCCAAGCGATGTATTCTGAGCACATTGTAATGCCTGCAGTTCTCCTTCTTTCCTGTACACCAGTGGGACTGTACAGCTTCTCACTGCATAATCCTGCACAGCATCTCTTGCATTACCTGAAGGTAAAACTCTACAGGCTCAGGTAATGAGGGGCACAGGGCTTGGCTCTGCTCCCCACCAGCACAGAAGTAGAAATGTTGGATTTTCTTTAGTTTATGTCACTAACTTAGAGAACATTGCTTATAAAAACAAATAATTTTTAAAAAAAGCAAATTCGTTATAAGCTGTATAAACCCAGGAAACCTGGAGTTTTCATTTCCTGTAGACCTATCAACACAAACAAAATATAAATTATTTTTAAAGTTCAGATACTGAACTCGAGAAGAAAATCAAAAGTGCTTTCCCTGCTGTTCTTTTCAATATTCACTTCATGTTTTATTTGGAAGTTAGATTCATCGCCACTCTAAAATGTTCTCCACTTTTATCTTAAGTATTGCTGTTTCCAAAGGAACAAAGAGTATTTCTTATCAGCGTCTTCCGGCTGGACTTCCTAATGCATTTGATTTCCAGCTATTAACCTGGGAGCCCTACATTCACAATCACTTTGTGGTTTTTAAGGCCCTACAGGTTTAGAAGCGTATGGACATTCTTATGAAGATTATTACTTTATTTTGTACTTAACAATGTTTGCCAATATCCTCGTGGCTCGGCGCTGACTGGGCGCTCAGCAAGGCAGACCTCTGCTCAGCTCCTTTTTCCTCTTGCTATTTGTTCTCAATAAACCCTTTACAACATAAGGTTTCAACAGCAGCTGCCCAGCATGCAGCCCACCTGCCCCAGCCCCAAATCCTGCTGCTTGGTGTGGTTAGGCCTGCTTTTCTATCACAGGCTAATTTACAGTTCATGTAAAATTATTTGCAAGTTACTATAAACTTCTAAATCACATTGCAGTGTGATTCCTTCTGCTGGTAAAACATGACTTAACTGAATGACTTTCCTTTGATTTTTTTTTTAAATGAAATTTTAAAATTAGAATGAATGAAAATTAGAATTAGGATGAAACGTGCTGGATTTGTTCACTATCAAAAATGATGATTAGCCAAGAGTTTTCACTGAAAAATTTGTTTCCTTCTTTGCTACTCGACCTCTTTCGTGAAACTTTGGGGGATAATCCATTTAACATTGATGGGAAATGCACATTAAGATAGTTTTAGAAGGCCAACGTAAGTTTTGATTGTCTGGTTCAAGTGATAGATGATATTAAACACCTTCCCAAGCACATGGCCCCTTCTCAGTGAAGCATTACACGTGTACTTAGCTTTAATCGCGCTTCTAAAGCTCTCTGATTTCAATGGGATTTAAGTGTGTGCTTGAAGGTAAGCCTGTGACTAAAAGGTTTCTGGTACCGAGCTAACCAGTGTGTGCCAGCAAGGTGTTCTCAAAAGAGCCACACGTTTCTCCTCAGAATAAACTCAGAAAATAATTCTTCACAGAATTCCCCCCAGTAAAGCACTGTGTAGCACCAGGCTTGTAAAGAGTGAATATCTGTGTCCTAAGCAAACTGGAAATAGATGAGTACACAACTCTTTTTGGTAGTGGGCTCACCTCTCCCAGCTGCCAAGATGCAGCTTTGTGTCCTGAAGGGTTCTTCTCCACTCTACAGCCCGACCTCAGCCAGTGGTTGGGGCTGGAATTATTCCCTTGCAGTGCCTTCTTCCAAAGCGCTGTGCTCCGGCGTTATGATTTATTGCTCCCAAGCAATGAACATGGGATGAAATACCGTCCTATTAATTGCTTGCTTCTACTCCTAAACTCAAATATCCATAGACTGAGGAAATTTTGTGTCACGGAAGAAGGTTATTTATCTATTAACGCAGCACGCACATACAGCAAATACATGTCTTTGGGTCCTGAGGGAGCCCCTGTGTCTCTATTGTTTGATAATTGGTTTTGGATTAATTTTTGGATTATTTCCCAACCAATATCTTAATAATTACTTGGTAAATTTTAAATTCAAGGCCAATCTTAAAATTGGACACCAAGAGCCCTCAGGCTTAATTTAGAGTGCACACATTGGAACTGGCACAATGCCTATTAGTGTATTATTTTTATAGATTACAGTTCTCTTGGCATGATATCAGAAATAACACAAAATTTCCAACCTAGCAGCATTTCTGACTAGATATAATCAATCAAATCATCATTTGCATTTAAAGCTGGTATAAAATTTTACATTCTCTTGTTCCAAGTCCTCACCTTTCTCCATTCATGCTTTTTATACATACCTTGCATGAACTCTGTCTGCACAATCGTGTGAAGATAATGTTTAAACCAATGAGAGAAAATATGTGACGCATCTGGAAGCATTTGTATTTTCTCAAAAATATCTGCACAACCCATTATGTTGAAACCACAGGAAAAGTAATTTACCTCTACAGCTATAAAGGCTGTGTGGTTATAAAATCTTATCATATAAAAGCGCATTGTCTTGTCTGTGGAAATTCTGTAAGCAGTCCATAATTATTTGCAGTAATTTACTGCTATTACTGTTTCCAATAGGAAAATAAGGAACATTCTGCTTAATTACATTACACCTGCTTTACCTTTGCCAAATATAGAATGGCCCGCAATGGATGCTGAACTGCAGGAAGTCGGGATGCAGAAGGGAGGATTATTTTGGCACACCTGGGTTCTGCAGCTCTTAGCAGTGTATTTAACAACCACACTTGTGGAGCTACACATGGTCCTCATGCTCCTAATCAGAAGTTACACTGGTTTTGCTGACGAAGTGCCCTTCTGCCCATTCTCCAGAGCCTGGCTAGAAAGGCTTTCCATCAATGCTCGGGCTGTGGCTGCTGGATTTGGCCCCATGGGTTTCATGGCTCTCCCAAGGATCCCTGAGCCCCTGCAGCAGATGTTGATGAGAGTTTAGTGGCTGAGAGTTTGAATTTTTGCTCTCCATTTCATTGCACTGGTGTTGTTTCAAAAGTTCTGATGACTTCTCTGGGAATACTTCAGGAGCATCTCAGCAGGTCCTCTGCCAAACTCCAAATGACAAAGACTTGTCCCTTTCTGCTCTCCAGGGAGCATCCAGCTCAAGGCCAGAGCCACCTCTTTTGCTTCACTGTTGGTCACCATCCTCTCCCACAGCTCTTTTGCTCCATACACAACTTTGTATTGCCAAACCTTTTTGCAGAGCTGGTGACAGATGGGGGGATAGCCAAGCAAGAAGTTGTGCAAGCCCAAAACAGCCACAGGAAACTTTCTTTGACTAAAAATCTTGTATCTAGACACAAGGACCCAAGACCATAGGTAGATAGGGACTGAAAGTAAGGGACAGGGTAGAGGTGAATTGACCAGCAGCACAACACTGGAAGCCTCATCAGCAATCTGCTTCTCCATGGTTTACTTCAGTGCATCCTCCAAACCAGCTGTATATCCTCAGCAGCACTAAATGATGCTGTGTAGCACTTGGCACAACTCTCATTTCAACCTGCCTACCCCAGAAAGCATTTTCTCCTTCTCTGGCACCTTCTCCTGCACGCTTTTTCTATGTGTTGAGGTTTTTTTTTTTTCAAGGCATGGCATTTCTCATGAATGCCAAGGATGCAGTAATGTGATTCACACACAAAATCCTTTCCGTAACAGGATAGGGAGTATTAAGAGCAAGAACAAGCTGGCAACTTCAGTTTCTGTTTATGCTTAATTCCTATCGGGATCCACTCTCAAAGTGAGCCAAAAATTGGTTCCCAAACTTTTCAGGTGAAAATAAATCAGCTTTCACCTGTGTGCTCAGAAAAATCCTCCCAACCACGGAGGGTTGTCTGCTGTGCACAGGCAATGCCTGCTTCTGAGTGGTTCCCCTCTGCCAGCTGCACCGCCAAAACGTTCTATCTGCTGCTGAAAGATTAGTGGCCACCTTATCCAGTCTGTGAACTCCAGATAAATCCCAGAACAGCAGCAGGAAGAAAGCAACATAAGCTCAAGCAGAAGGTCTCCATTTATTGTAAATCCATGTCCTGTATGCTTGGGCACCTCCAGGGTAACAAACTGCTATACCTGCTTCTGCATACATGTGAGATCAAGAAAGCAGATGCTGCCCTGACCTCTGTCCACTGCACTCGTGTTGCTCTACTAATCTGTAGTTATGTGTGCCCCAATTATATGGCTACATTTATTATTCCTGTTTAATTCAAATACTTCTCTACGGTTCCTAGATGTGCCATATGTTTGGGAGAAAAAAAAAAAAAAAAAAACTAGATAGGAGGATTACACATTTTGTTATTTTTCAGGGTTTTCGGCTCATATATTCCCATTATAGAAAGTTGGAAGATCTGCTCTGAGCCACTATACAGATCCAAACCTGCCTGGCACATCACCTGGCAGAGCCCTGCTGCCAGCCCATGGGCAGACCAGGTGAGGCCTGCATCTCCATCACTGGAGGAGATCTACGCTGAGGTGAGACTAGATGCTAGTTTTGGTGAATCCATCACCAGAAAGAAAACCAAGGACTGGCAAGGCAACATGGATGGAAAACTTTGATTTCAGCAACAGCCTTCAAAGCTCTATATGTATCAGGCAGGACCTAAAAACCTCTGTGCTGAAGTATTTTCCAAATCTTTGTCATGATGAGGTGCTTACTGCAGGTAAACCATGGGCAATGCTGGTTTAACAGCCTGGTACTCATCAGATGCTTCTTGTGGGTAAAAGGGTACCCCCACCTCAACGTTACTGTGAGGTGGTATGGCAATGCAGAATTGAGCCCAATTTTTAAAAATATTAAATGTAAAAAGAAATTCCTAAATAAGAGAAAACATTTTCTTTGCTCATTTGTAAAGTTTTACTTAAAAACTCTATTTTAAGCCAAGATAGTCAGAGGTTTACAAATATTTATAGACCGTGCATTTAGGAAAAACCATTAACTGCTAGGCATGGAAATTAACTGAGGTTATTATTTTTTCACTAAAGCTGAAATGCTTTTTCCCCACTATTTTAAGCTAAAGATGGAGCAGCAGACTCTTAGAAGAAGCAGCAGTGCAGACTCAAGGAAGGTTGCTTTATGAAAGGACCAGTTGTACTCTGTGATGGAAGAGCTGTTGAAACTTGGGACTCTGGGAATAGATATCAATGAATTTGTATCCTCTGCAGGCAGAAGAAAAACCATCAGATTTACAGCATTTGATGAAGTGTGTGCTGATAATGAGAAGATATGAGGAAAAGCTCTTCCAGCCTGCAGAGCGAGTCGTTCTGTGTGTTTCACATCCACATCTACGTGACAGCACGTTGTGGTTAAAGTCAACTCTTAGAACTTCTCCTGGCCCTTTAACTAGGCAAGTAGTTTTGTATCTAGCACTGATCCTGGGTCAATCTCTTCTGCTTTGGAGAGACTACTATTTACTGTACCTGATTGGAACAATTCCCACAGCATTCCCACTTTCTCATTCTCCTGCAGGGATGTACGCAAGGATGTGAACATCATCACATCAGATCCAGTTAAATTCCAGCTTTTTCCTCCCTTTTCATTTTTTTTTTAGGCTTAGTAAAAGCCCTATTTTTTCCTCGCTCTCCCATGAGCTCATTCCTGCAGACTCCTCTATTTTTATATTACTGAAAGCATGTTTTAAATGCGCATAGACCACACGCAAAATGTTTGAAATAGCCCAACATCCGAATACCAGAGTCTAATAAGGCACCAATTAGACAGACAACTTGCTAAAATCAAGGCTGCTATTTCACCGCTGCTTCTTGTTTCTCCTACCAATTGGTTAGGATGATTAAAACCTGATCTCTTTGTATTAATGGAGATAGAGCATTCCTAAGAAAACACGTGTCAGGGAAAATCTCCTCCCTGAAGCAGGCATTCAGCTCGTTTAACTGCTGATTGAAGTGAGAGCCAGCAGAATCCTCATCGGTTAAAAACATGACCAGCCTCACTGCTATTAATCCTAAAGCAATGATATGGAAAACATATCAGATAATTTCTCTATTTCTTTTCACAGATCCCCAAGAGATTTAGCAGACCTTTGAAAAGGTACCAAGGTAAAACCACACTCATATAAAATAATTATTTCACCAGAATGGACCAGACTTATTTTTTTCATCCAACCACTGTGAAAAATTTCTTTATACCATCCATCCCTGACTAGTGCCAGGGACAAGGAAATGCACGTAAGCCCCTGTGCCTGCCATCTGTTGAGTAAAGCCTGCTGCCAGCTGCTTATCGTGGGCTGCAGGTAAGAGCAGGGCTGTGGGGAATGTAGAGGGGAGAGTATGCCCATTTATAGAGTTTCGGTGAAGATTCATAAGGAATACCAGATTCCAAGCACAGTGCTGTGGTTTGGGGAATGGCATTTGTGGAAATACTGGAGCTTTTTTTATAGCAGTGTTTAGTCTGCCAGGCAAACTGCACTGCCTGTCCTCCTTTGGATATTTTTGTAACAGAGATGGCTCAAACCTTGCTCTCTTTACGTCTTTGAATGCAAGACTTTTGCAAGTTGTTAAGATATGCTTACTGAGACTTTCTTGTGGGGCCTTATGCAATACTCTCCAAGGCAGCTGGGTCTCCTTCCATTTACTTGCATGTTGAATCAAATCTTCAGTTGGTTTATCACAATGCTGGGTTGCGCTCAGCCCTTGGCAGCCAGATAACCCTATGTATTCAAACAGCAGTGGCTCCATCAACTTTGATGTATTCCACACTACTTCTCGAGGTGACTCTATTTTTATTATTATTTTTAAGTCAGGCAAGGAATGAATGGAAGAACAGCGGTGCCACATTTGTATATTCAGTGGGCTGAATTTTGGGATGTACATGGTTCTTATTTTCAGGACAAACAAGTACATAGAGATAGGAAAGCGTTCCTTCTTCCACAGCCTGCACTGATCTCCTTGGAGATATTTCTGGACTATGGCTATGAGAAGTGCTCTTGATGCAGCATTCAGCAGTATTTCCAAGGAGCCAGGGCCGCAGAGGAATGCTTTATCTGTGCTTTGTCACTTGCTTCTGATCCAGATATAGCTACAGCCCTGAAAATAGATAATGTCTTAACAATGCTGGTTATCTGGAAAACTTTTCAGCAAAAATCCCTGCAGATAAAATATCTGAACTCCGTGCCTGGCCAGAATTTATTTGATTTCATGAGCAGCAAGACACAGTTTCCCCAGACATCCTGATGATATTCACTCTCTTTCCATTTTCCAAGAGCTAAGACTAATTCTCAATCAACAGCCAAGAAAATGAGCTGCTGATTTGAAGCTTCTTTCCAGAGGCTTAGTCCATCAGAGACATCCACCATACTTAAGTTTCCCATTTTAAAGTAATTTAGAAAACAAAATGCTTTATACAATCAATAGTAACAATCTTCTTCTTCTTCTTTTTTTTTTTTTTTAATGGATCAGAGGATTTTCCTTTTCTAAAAACTTATGTTTTTGTGCCTTCATTTTTTTGTACAAATGATACAGCTATTAATAGGAGATTAAGAAATGCTGCAAAATTGACGTACTTAACATAACTCATCAAACGTGTTGAGACATTAGTTATCAGATCATGGTACATTCAGCCTTACATTTCGATGGTACAAAGATGGTAAAAGGCATACAAAAATGTATAGCATAACATCAGAGATGTAGATTGAAGGTGACTTAAATTTTTGCTGTGTTCCAAAACTTCAGGTGTGATTCGTTACAAACTTTTTTCTAAGTTTGTCTCAGTGCAAAGGAGCAGTCAAAAACTTTCTCCTTTTTCTTGACATTTGCTAGCCCTTTGCAAAAGACACATATTAATGTAAGTTTGTCCTATTCTTATGTGTAACCTGGGCTTTTTTTTTTTTTTTTTTTCCTGGTCCTTTGGTTTATCTGCTTTTATGGCGGTATTTCAGATGTCTGATTTTACAGGACAACTGATGTAAAAGATGTACATCTTCTGTGTTTTTATCTACCATATAATTAGGCCAGCAAGGGTCTGGGTCTTGCAATGCAGCCTTAAAAATGATAACTCGGTTCCCAGTATGTGACTGAGTGATTTAAATCTTCTCTCAAGGGAGACTGGAAACTACCAGGACAGATATTTGAAGACGATCAGCATGAAAATACACCAAATAGCAGATACTTCACTCAGGTTAGGTAAAAGAACTGTGCTGTTATTAATTTGAAAACCTGCAAGGAGACTCCTATCAAGATAAATTCTGGACAAAAGAGGTCAGCTAGCTAACTTTTACAGGTCAGGAAAGCTCTCTTTGGGAGGCAATGGGAGGATTATAGATGTGCCTGAAAGAAAGAGCCAAATAGCTGAAAAGTTTGGAATCATCACCTCGGTTTTTACTTTATTTCGTTTTATTTTATCTATTTTGGAATTCATACTGGTTTTCACTGCCCCAGGTTTACAAACCTGTGAGGCATGCCATGCTTTATGTCATAATGATGTCAATCATTTTTTAAAGGTGGCTCATTGTGTTTGTCCCAACCTAATTTGGGGTAACAAATACTGAATTGGGTCCCAAGTTTTGACATACACAACAGATGTTTCAGAAGGAATTCGGTTTATTGGAATGAAGCAAGTCTTTTTGTT